TGATGGTGACACCAATAGCAAGGTCACAGTCCCACCATGGTGACAGTGACACCACTGGTACCAGACCATGGTCCCATCATGGTGACATTGATGGTGACACCAATAGCAAGGCCACAGTCTCACCCTGGTGACATTGGTGACATTGATGGTGACACCAGACCATGGTCCCATCATGGTGACATTGATGGTGACACCAATAGCAAGGCCACAGTCTCACCCTGGTGACATTGGTGACATTGATGGTGACACCAATGGCCAGACCATGGTCCCACCATGGTGACATTGATGGTGACACCAAGAGTGCCACTAATGATGACACCATGCTCCCATCTTGGTGACACTAATGATGCCACTAATGATGAGGCCACAGTCCCACCATGGTGACCCTGATGGTGACACCAATGGCAAAGCCACGATCCCACAGCAGTGACACCAACAATGCCACTGAGACCATGGTCCCATCTTGGTGACACACATGGTGCTATTGAGACCATGGTCCCAACTTGGTGACATTGATAATGCCGTTGAGACCACAGTCCCATCTTGGTGACACCGATGGTGCTGTTGAGACCAGGTCTCATCTTGGTGTCACTGATGAGGCCACTGAAATCACGATTCCATCTTGGTGTCACCAACGGTGCCACTGAAACCATGGTCCCATCGGTGACACCGATGAAGCCGCTGAGACCACGGTCCCATCTTGGTGTCACTGGTGATGCCATTGAGACCATGGTCCCATCTTGGTGTCACTGACGACGCCATTGAAACCACAGTCCCATCATGGTGACACTAACAATGCCACTGAGACCACGGTCCCATCATGGTGACATCAATGGTACCATTCAGACCATGGTCCCATCTTGGTAACACCAACGATGCCATTGAGACCACGGTCCCATCTTGGTGAGACCGATGACACCGCCGAGACCACGGTCCCATCTTGGTGTCACTGACGATGCCATTGAGACCAGGTCCCATCATGGTGACATCAATGGTACCATTGAGACCATGGTCCCATCTTGGTGACACCGCTGAGACCATGGTCCCATCTTGGTGTCACTGACGATGCCATTGAGACCACAGTCCCATCATGGTGACACTAACAATGCCACCGAGACCACGGTCCCATCATGGTGACATCAATGGTACCATTCAGACCATGGTCCCATCTTGGTAACACCAATGATGCCATTGAGACCATGGTCCCATCTTGGTGACACCAACGATGCCATTGAGACCACGGTCCCATCTTGGTGACACTGACGATGCCATTGAGACCACGGTCCCATCTTGGTGACACCGATGACACCGCCGAGACAACGGTCCCATCTTGGTGTCACTGACGATGCCATTGAGACCATGGTCCCATCTTGGTGACACCAACGATGCCATTGAGACCACGGTCCCATCTTGGTGACACCGATGACGCCACCGAGACCACGGTCCCACCGCGTCGCCGCCGCCGCGCCGCCGCCGCCGATGGCCCCGTGCCGGTCCCGGCGGTGTCCCCGTGCCCGGCCCCGTGTCCCCGTAACGCTCTTCTCCTCCCTCCGAAGGCAGCGGGGACAGCGAGCGGCTGGCGCTGGCGCGGCAGCGCATCCCCTTCCGCCTGGGGCGGGTGGTCGATGAGTGGCTGCTCGACAAAGGTAACGGCAGCGAGCGCCCCCCACACCTGGGCACCCCCACACCTGGGCACCCCCACACCTGGGCACCCCCACACCTGGGCGCCCCGCTGCGGCCGGGACCCAGAGATTTTGGGGTCCCAGGTGTCTGGAACCCACTGATCTGGGGGAGTGTTGGGGATCCCCCGACACCTGGAGGCTCCCACACCCGGGCACCCCGGAGCGGGGGGGCTCAGGTGTGCGGGACCCGCCTGTTTGGGGTCCCAGGTGTTCGGGGATCCCGGCCTTTGGGACCCCGATATTTGGGGGTTGCAGCACCTGGGCCCCGCAGGTGTCCAGGAGCCGCGTCCCGGAGGACCCCGTTGTCCAGGGACCCCCCCCAGGTGTCCGGGCAGGGAGCCCAGGTGTTGGGGGAGGGGCCAGCCCCTGCCCCGCCCCCTCATTACCTGGTTAAAGGGATGCTAACGCACCTAACGGCCCCCCTAAACCGCGCTGAGCCCAGAGCCCCCCTAAAGCCGCATAAACCCGCTAAACCCCCTAACCCGCCCCTGCCAGACTGCCCGGGGCCGGGGCTGCGCCAGGTGTGCCAGCACAGGTGTGCACCAGGCTGGGGCGTGCGCCAGGTGTGCCAGCACAGGTGCGCACCAGGTGTGCACCGTGGCTGGGGCGTGCGCCAGGTGTGCCAGCACAGGTGTGCACCAGGTGTGCCATGACAGGTGCGCACCAGGTGTGCCAGGACAGGTGTGCACCGTGGCTGGGGCGTGCGCCAGGTGTGCCAGCACAGGTGTGCACCAGGTGTGCCAGCACAGGCATGCACCAGGTGTGCCAGGACAGGTGTATGCCAGGTGTGTGCCATGGCTGGACTGTGCACCAGGTGTGCGCCTTAGCACCGGGTGTGCACAGGACAGGTGTGCACCGTGGCTGGGGCGTGTGCCAGGTGTGCACAGGACAGGTGCACACCAGGTGTGCCAGGACAGGTGTGCACCATGGCTGGGGCGCGCACCAGGTGTGCCAGGACAGGTGTGCACCAGGTGTGCGCCATGTCTGGTATGTGCACCAGGTGTACGCCAGGTGTGTGCCATGGCTGGAACGCGCACCAGGTGTGCGCCTTAGCACCGGGCGTGCACAGGACAGGTGTGCACCAAGGCTGGGGTGTGTGCCAGGTGTGCACCAGGGCCAGGTGCGCACCAGGGCCAGGTGTGCAGCAGGTGTCCATGAAGACAGGTGTGCCCCAGGTATGCAGCAGGGCCAGGTGTGCGCGAGGAAGGTGCCCCTCTGCCCTGCAGGTGTGCACAGGAGCCGCCCCAGCCTCGCACGCCCCTTGCACGCCCCGGCCCCGCCCAGGCCGGGCCCCTGCCCCTCCCCCCCGCCCCAAATGACCCAAAATTGGCCGAATTGAGCCCGAGCGGAGCCGGGGGCCGGGGGGGCGTTGGGGTCCCTTTAACTGCCCGGGGGGGGAGGGGGGCGGGGGGAGGGGGGCAGGGCTGCTCCTCCTGCGAGGCACACCCAGGTGTGCCCCAGGTGTGCCCCAGGTGTGCGGTGAGGGTGGGGGACGGTGGGGTGGGCGTGGCAGGGTGAGGCAGGTGGGGCAGTGTGGGGGCGTGCCAGGTGTGCCAGGTGTGGGGATAAAGCTGTTCC